CTTGGCACTATATAAATAAACTGAATTGAATTTCACATTTTGATTAATAGCAAAGATTTTTAAGATAGTAAATATGCTACATGCAGCTGATATTGTATGCTGTCTATGTTGTAAAAATTATAAAGTAGACCTATATGTAATAGTCTTAAATCACCCCTATGTTTCTAAACATTATAATGTTTAGAAACATAGGGGTGATTATATATGATAACAGTATCTGAAAGTCATGCTTAATTTAAAAAAAAGGATAGTAATTACGGTAAACACATGAGAGAAACCTACATCATTCTTAGTTGATCAGTTAACTGTATGTCAGGTTTTGAGCTAATTGCTCTTTCAGAATCATTTTGTTGGCACAAAAGATTATTTTGTGTGTGTCAAATATATTCTACATACATTGAACTAAACAAATTAAAACAAATTGTGACAGACTGATATAATAAAGCTACTAGCTAGAAAGCTACTAGCTAGGTAGCTAGCTCAATTTTTGCTAGTGGAACCGATAGAAAGTTGTTTACATGCTTAGTTTTGTGTTACCGTGTGAAGACACAACACTGCTTCATCTGTAGAATTTGAGAAAGTCTAATGCCTTATAATTCATAAGTTAAAGTGGTTTAACCAACAAACAAATAAACAAACAAAACGTTCTTCTTAAAATGGTCAGGTATTGCACAAATATGAGCTAGAAAGCAGCTAGCCTTAAGAAATAATGACCAAGACCATAATAAAGCAAAATATTTCAAATATTGAGAGATGGTCCAACATTAGAACACAGTACACTATAGCTTTATTTAATCATCTTATGTTTAACCCTCAGTTTCTTTGAGTGAAAGCTTGGGAACCACGCAAAATAACAAAAACAAACTATATCGAAACAGCATTGTTTGTGGGCCTAGATTTCACACACTGTGGGCCTCTGCTCAGACTGTAAACACAGAGCGGGGCATTGTTTTTTTCATCTATCACAAGGATACATATTCTTAGAGTATTTTTGAAGAGGAATTCAAGCAGACAAAACATCCAAATGTTGTTTTTGGACTCTTTGTAGTGCGACTTTTAATATACATCAATGAATATTTTACATCCAGAGACTTTGTGTCTTTGTGCCCCTGTCGAGAGTAAATAAATCCTGTTCAAGGGATGTTTGTTTTTGTTGCCCTGTAGCTTTTGTCCCCGTGAGCGTGTAAAATTGTAGGGGTGTCGGAGGGGAGCTGCGTTTGCGTGTTTTTGTAAGTCGGTCACTGAAATGGCAGCTTGGTTGGAAGACGATGTGCCGTAAAGGTGTACAAATGATTTTTTTTTTATTCAACCTTTTTTTATTCAGGTTAGTCTCATTGTGTCACGAGGACTCATTTTCAAGAGAGACCTGTTTTAGACAGATAACATATAAAGTACAGACAACAAAAATTCAACGAAAAGCGGTTAATAAAAATAAAATAAAAGTAGTTATGAAAGCAGTCAAATCATTATGTCAGACTGATGAGGGTTGTGTAACGTCAGTGTCCATCGGATGAGGAGCTGATGCAGCAGGTTGGTACAAAATTTGCTGAAAAGAGATGTAAGAAGAAAAAAAATTGTCAAGTGGTATCTTACCTGTTCTAGATAGTTTTTTGAACGACCTCAGTCAGTGTTGCCAGATAGAGTCGAGGTTTTCTAGCCCAAAAATCTGTTAAAAACCGCCACATCACACAAAAATCCACCCAGTCAATATATTGCTACAATATATTTTAGGAATGCACGATACTGGATCTTTGGCTGATATCCAATATGTCGATGTGTTTAAACTGATTTTGCCTAGACCTACTTACAGAGACGACAGCTTTCTCTGCTGTGGAATTAAAATACTAAATTATTCTGCATAGGCTTTGTCAATTTGGCCTGCTATCAAATGCAGATGCCAAAAAGGTGTCTGAAAATGATGTAACACTATATAACTATATATAATAATATATTTAAAAAAACATTGCCTTTTATATCGGTGAGTTATTTTGATGGAATGCCCGATGTCCGATATATAACTTTATCGCTAATATTGCCTGATATCTATACCATGACGATAATATTGTGCATCCCTAGTATACTTGATGTTTGAACATGAACACACATCAGTACAAGCCAAGGTAATTTAACAATATGTGGCAAAACGTAAGAATCCAACAAAAATCTTCCCAGAGTTCCCAGTAAAATTAGAATGAAAACCACCCAATCTGGCAACACTGATCTCAGTTTGGAGCAACACAGTTTAATATTCTCTGAATAGTCCAAACAGAGCCAAGACCAACGGGAGTGGCTGCTGTCTGAAAACAACTCCAATCCTAACAATTTTGTAGTGGTTCGTCCAAATGCTACTTTTGAACTGGCCCACTGCTGGTTATTTATGTGAAACTTTAAAGTTATTTGCCAGTGCAAATCATGACATCATCAACTAATTGTCACACTTCTGTCAGAAATGTAATGTTTCTGTTTTAGGAAAGCAAAATTCACTTTTGTAATGGGTATTCGAATTAGCCATTATTAGATCAAAGTTCATGGACAATAATCCAGGTAAAAAAAAATCCAGCAAGGTTCAGTCAGGTCATCTGGACGGTTTCTGTTTTTTGTTGAGACGTTTCATCCTTCATCCTAAGGACTTCATCAGTCCAAGGAACACAACAAACTGAGTCTCACAAGCAGCCCAATCACATAGTGGATTATTGAGCATGGACTTTGAACTGACTGACGAAGTCCTTTGGATGAAGGATGAAACGTCTCAACAAAAAAACGAAACCAGCCAGATGACCTGACTGAACTTTGTTGGGTAGCCACGACATGAAAGTCTCACTTCCACCGCTGTCGGTCTAATCAAATGATAAGATGTCAACATTTACATTGCCATCAATTTTATATTACTCAGATATTACAGTAAAAACATAATGATGTTCCAATTGAAAGTGCATGAGACTGTATCATAAGTGCTACAGCTAGCTGCTGCTGCTGTGCTTGCAGATATCTACATTTCCATTCATCCATCCAGTATCTTTACCCACTTCTTCCTTTTCGGGGCACGGGGGTCACTGGTGCCATAAAAATAACTTTCTTATTCAAAACTGATTGAAGTTTGATAAAAATAATTTTCTCATGAAGAACGGTGAAGCTTTGGAGATACAGCAGCGGTCCACTTTGGGTTTTTTGTTTTGTTTTGTTGTTGTTTGGGTTTTGAACTAGCCATTAGCTCATCAGTGTTGTCAGACTTAACCCTCCTACTTCCCTCGAGTCAAAATTACCCCAAACGGAGTCTTCGTGAGTGTTTTAACCCAAGGGTGGCAGGAGGGTTAAATTTGTATCTCCAAACTGAGGCCACTCTAAAAGCTATATATGTCTCGATGTTTTGCACCTCACGTTAAAATAGCTGAACTATCCCTCTAATCGGAATTATTTCACAAACACTTTGCAGAGGGCTAAAATCACACGAATCTAGTTGTGATCCCATGCCTGCCTTGTCCTACAGTGAACTCTGTTAAACCTCAGGTTCTTGTCTTTCCACTCATCTCAGCATCAATCATCATCGTCACTCACTGACCTCAGTGCCTGTTTCCTCTGTGCTGCATCGATTTGTGTGTTCTTTCTGTTCCTATCTTTTGTGCTTATTTTGGTCAAAGTCAATATTCATCTTTTAACATATATTACATATCAGAGTCAGCTGATGGTTTTTCATGGAACTTATTAATGTTAATAACTTCTGCCTCACTTTGGCTTCATTTAGGAGACGATGGTGAATTTAATCAGCTAGTTTCTTATAGGAATGCTGAATCCACTTATCTTTAAGTAAAAAGGTTTTGGATAAGTACAAAAAGTTAAAACTGCCTCTGATGCACCCAGTGGACATAGAAAAGAAAAAAAAAAAGTGTGGAAATGAGAGGGAGTCATGGCCGACTGCAAGTTAACATCAAAGTAAGTGGAAAAACAGAAATGGTCCGATCTACAGCACAGGATTTCCTTGTTGCTTTTTTGTTCTGAGCGCTGCGAGGAATTATTGTTTATTTAAATGATAATATTTTTGTCTAAAACATTCAGCGTGTCTTAGATTATGCGTGATGAATGACTGAAATGATCAAGAACTTTGATAGATGTTTAAAATTCTGTGAATTCCGTTAATCGGCTCGTTCACTTAAAAGTTCCTCTTGGTTTTTTGGGGCTCAGAAGAAGTGAAATATAGAAAGAATTAGATGCAAAAGTGCTTGATTTAAAAGTCAGTAAACGTAATATCTTTTTGATTGTTTTTGCCTCAGGTTTCTGCGACTGTGGATCGCTGTGCTGGTCATCTATCCAACAAACCAGGCTGTGATCGCGCTCACGTTCTCCAACTATGTCCTCCAGCCTCTGTTTCCCACCTGCTTCCCACCAGAAAATGGCCTGCGGCTGCTCGCAGCTGTCTGTCTTCGTGAGTAGCATGTTAAAAGCACTTGAACACACCTGCGTTCATAAATAAGCTCGTCTCAGTCGACATCTACAACAATTAAAACAGCTGAGTTAACTGTACTACAGGTTATTTAAAGATTACTTTGTACCGTTCTCATTTTGACCTTGTTAAAGAGGTAGTTGGAACTTTTTGAAGTGGGTTCTATGGAATAGTTGGCAATCAGAAATTCTTCCGTTTGACGAGAATGAAAACTAATCCGCGAGTCGTCGAGGTAATGAATATAGGCCAATTTCAGAGCAGATCTAAAATACCGATACTGAAGTGAATCGTATTTTGTTTAAGTTTTTCTCTGCATCACGTTCACATCAGATGGTAATTCACACTGAACACTGGCTGGATTAAAATATGTCTCTGGGCAGGAAATATTGTGTTGAACGTGTGTTTCAAAACAAACTGTTATCAATTTAGCCACAACTATCTGTTGTGCAAATAATGTGGTGTACAACATACGGTAAAGTGTTTGGTCGAATGATATAAAACCTTTGAGATTTTTGACAAGAACCAGGTTTTCGGATTCAACAGTTCAGCCAGACAACAAGAGCGATTAAATAACTTTGTTGTTTTGAAGCCGCTGGTGGGAGTCTGGATCCAGTCACGGGAACAGGTCTGCAGGGATAATACAGTTAGTGGGCTTCAGGAGGCGTGCTTGATAACATAAAACGGCCATTAACCTTCTCAGGCAGGTGAGGTGAGAGCCACATATCAGGGTAAGAGTCTGGCTGATCATAACAATTCAGCAGAACCCCATTTAACAAAGTCCATTTATGTCATTAAGCAAGTTATTTAAAAATCTGCTGAAAAAGCTATAAGCAGGACTGCACTTTGACTTTTTCTTTTGTAAATCTGTGTTTGTTTGGAGCAGCCCTGATGGAATTTAGATCTTGGGATAAAGCTTGAAAACACAAAGTTTTTCTGGTGTGTACTTAAGAGACAAGCGCAGATATATATAAAAATAAGTGAACTGTAAAAAAAAACAACAATATTTTTTTAATCTAAATTAACTATTAAAATTAGTAGCTCTTGATCAGACTGAAGTTTCCCAACAGCACCTTTTTGCTTCATTTATCTGGTTTGTCCCACTTTTCCTCTAACATTTATTTAAGCTTCTGTGTTATTTAAGCCTCATATTGATATTAAGAAAAAAAAACAAGAATCAAGAGAAGAGCAGTGGTAATAATGTGAAGACAAATGAAGAAATAAGTCGGCACAAACTTGATATTACGTAGTTAACTCAAACCCCTCAACAGTTCACATATGAGGCAAATATTTCTGGCAGCCTACATCCACAAAGACAGACCATAGCACAGATTCTGTAAAAAGCGTGTGTATTACATACTTATATGTTCATAATAAACTTTGTTAATACCTGACCTGAATTCCCTTCTGTAAAGTTTCCAAAAGTGTTCCAGACACACTGGTTAAAGCCGGATTTTCAGACCAGCTCCTGCAGCTCTAATCAGATTTAAAGAGGAATAACAAGTGTAGATGTTTGTTTATTTGCAAATCAGAGTCTGGATCCTAGATTTTTTGGTTAAATGAGTTCAGATGACAGAAAAACAAGCGCTTGTGCAACTGGATAAACTGGAGCTGTTATATTTGCATTGGCACTGTTCATATTCCTGATGTCTGTGTTTTTCATGTAAATCTTTGTTTCAACATTACGTTCAGTAGCTTTTCCCCGCTGCAACAGTTGTCTTAACAACTTTCTGCTTAGAGCTGGGAAACACCAAGAATATGTTCACTGGTGGAAGGATGGCTGCCTGGACTGGCTTTAAAAAAAAAAAATCAGAAATAGCTCTTTTTAAATGCTTGAGCAACAATATGCTCTGACACAGTGAAACTCCTCAAACTAAAGCTGTGCTGCTGCACAACCAAATGTTCAGATGTCAGTTTGCAGACTGCATGCAAACGACTTTTACCCTCACTATCAGCTTTTTGCAAAATAATCCAGATGCATGTTCAATAATCCAGGTAGATAAATCTAACTAGGTTGAATCAGGTCTTCTGGATGGATTCTTCTTTGCTGAAACGTTTCGTCTTTTATCCAAAAGACTTATTCAGTCTGAGGAGCTGCAACAAACTCAGTCTTTTACATATCACTTTCTCATAGTGGATCAACCAGTTTGCTGGTGACAGCCAAAACTAGTTGTTTACATGCCAAAAAAGAACCATCAGCCTAACATCTGATCGTAAGCGCCCTGATGACCGTTTGTTAGTCACCGAGCGATACTAGCAATAACAGCATTGTAAAAGGGTGACAGTTGAACACGGAGGCTTCCGCCCCGGTTTAACAATGGACGGTTTCTTTTCCTTCACTCCTCTCTCAAACCATCGTTCCTCTCTGTCCAGGTTGTGAACATCTTCATGCCTGAAAGAGTGACCTCTGGCCTGGAGATGAGTGTAGACCAGAGTCCTGGCCTGATGATGTTGCTCTTCTGTGCTGGTCCATCCTTTTGGCCAGTGGCTCTTTAGTTTCAATGTAAGACTGATCACAGCCCTGACACTGAACAGCATACACAATATTGCTCTGTTTGTGCCGGGGGACTGGTTCTTTGGGATGGACCAGTCTTTGCCGAAATGTAGTCAAAATGTAGGGCTGTTGAGTAAGTTATTATTGGGATTAGCTTGACGAGTTACCAGCAAATTAAACTTCTTTTGTTGTCAGCTCTTGGACTTGACATGGCGTGCCTTTTCAACAAATCCATCACCTGCTGAAATGCGATTTGATTTAGGCATGTTGTTAGTTTGCAGTAGTGACAGTTAATAGTAATAGTTGGGTTTTTTTTGGTTATGGCTGGTGAGAAACCTTTAAACTTCAAGTTGGGATTCCAACTTCGGGAGGCATTCCAGTTATTTGAAGACTTGGAAATTTCAATTTAAAATGTGGTAAATTAAGACGTTTCAAAGGATTTATGGTAAGGGAAATTACAACTGATGCAAAGCAGAAATGCTGTCAACAGGAGTCACATTTACAAAACTTTAAAAAAAACTACTGTTCGTTTGTGGCTTCAGTCTTGACAGCTGTCGCAGGAAATTTAGCTTTGATCATCTAAGAGTTTATATTTTATACAAAGTGTATACACACTTATTTTATCCTGCTAATAAAAAAACCCACACAAACTGAAAAACAACATCTTGGATGAGGCCGACCGCTCCAGGATGAAGGATCGTCAGTGAAAGTTTGCACCGTCTTAACAGTCTGTACATTTTCTGCTTGCGACACATTGACCTACATTCACTTGACTCCATATTTTCGTGAACCTCTTCAACTGCAAAGAGCCGACTCTTGAAACAAACGGCCTACAGTCATTTTACAGCGCAACTGGAATGTTTGCAACATTTCCCTTGAGTTGATTGGACAGACGTCGTCAAGCAGCTTCAGAAAAAAAAAAAAAGGAATCTGAGTTGATGATGATGCATCTGTTTTTTGCTGTTGTTCTTCGTGAGAGACTAACTGTCATGTCTGTTTTTCGGCACAGCATGTGAACGTGTTTACCTATGTCCACTTTTTGAAATATGTGAGATTTATCCTGTTTTTGCTCTTTGTGTTGCATTTAAGCAATTAGCAAAACTACTGAAATACCTGTAGGGTACTTGACGTCCTCACATTTTTACTCTCAATTCATAAACATAGATTCGGGGAGATAGATTCTGCTATTTGTTGCCAGATTTGTAGTTTTTAATGTTGCATTTCAAACCACTTGTGAAGAGACTGTCGTGATTCTAACCTTAGAAAGTCTGCACACATGGTGCTGTGGTGTACAGTTACAAATACTGTACATACTAACACTTTTTTCATTTAACTAAAAAACAGACCCATGATTAAGAGTCTGTGTCCACAGGGTGTACCCACAGTCTGCCAAATAACAGAAGCAAGAAGTAAGATGTGTGCGTTTGTCATGACACGTTACGGTCCACATAAACCACCAAGACAGACACAGGAGATTGGCCAAAAAGAGTTTCAAATGTATTTACTAAAACTAAAAGAATACTGTGGTTTTGGGACCATAAAAGAGGTCAACAGAACAAAATTTAACCAAGTTACCATTATAGGACACTAAAAGGGAACTATAAAGTGACTGATCCGGCCATTCTGACAGGGGGGACAAATTAAATAGACAAAATTACAAGTAGTGTTAGCAACAAAACAAAACTGAACAAAGTACTGCTAAATAGCAACCTAAGAAAGAAAGATATTTACAACAACAAATTTTATCTAGACAAAGATGTAAAAGAAAAAAAAATCACATTACAATATTTAACATCTCCCTCAGCTGACAGGCAGCATGGTACAGCCCAGTTGGACTAATCTCTAGATGTGATGCAGCTGGGGCTGTTTACAGTGGGAGGCAGCACAACTTCAGCAGCATCTCCACAGGAACTCAAACAAAAGTTCAATCATTGCAAATGACAAACTGCGACAAAGGAAGTTAACTAAATGTGTGCACTCCATATACTGTAGTAAACAACTATACAGTATTATCAAATGTTGCTAAAGTGTGAAAATAAACTACATAAATATACACCGTATTTTCCGGCGTACAAGTCACATTTATTATGCGTTTATTTAATGGTCAAAACAGCTTCATTTTGCCTGGGCGGCGCAGCACCATCCATCCATTCATCCATCCATTCATTCATCCATCGCAGCCAGAGCCGCTAGCTCTCCAGCGTTCCTCCGCCTGCACTAGCTGAGTGAAGCGAGCGGGCACGGGAGGACTCACTGTAATTTTCACTGTTTTATGTATATTTAATTTTATTATTTTATTTTATTATTACTATTATTTAAATAAAATAATAAAATTAATAATAAAAATTAATAAAAAAAATAAAAAAACTTATTTAATTTGTATTATTTTTATTATTATTTATTTTATTATTTTATTATTATTTTATTTTATATTTATGTAAATTTAATTTTCACTGTTGTAATTTTGACTGTTTTATGTTTCACTCTTGGAAATTTAAAGCATCAGTCAAAAATTGTTATTAATATGAAAAAAAAACATATATAAGTCGCTTCAGCGTATAAGTTGCAGGACTGACAAATCTATGCAAAAATCTGTGATCTATACACCGGAAAATATGGTAAATGCTCAGTTATTGAACTTAAGTTATCTAAATTTGTGCATTATTAACAATGAGCAATATATATATATATATATATATATATATATTACATTACATCAACCTTTGTTTACTGTGTGGCTGCAGGTTCTACCATCACATGACAAAACAACTTTATTTATCAGCTGATGCATTAAAAGGTTTCACATGTCATGACCTGTACCCAGGGGTCCTGGAGAGTTAGTCAATTTATTTTTTCTTCGTTGTTCTCGCTGTGTGTTTACACACGGAGGATAAATAAAATCAGAGTCTGCACAGTCTCTCATTTTATTTGGAGGAAAATAAATCATTTTTAGGTACAAGCATTTCCCCTCTGTGCCCCTTTACACCCACCTGTGGATTACTCCACATGCAGCTACAAAAATGCCCATGTGCAAGCCTCACCATGCGCTCTCATCTTGCTTTGTGTGTTCAAATGATGCACGTCTGCTCATGCGCTCTGTCTTTGTTCCTTGCAGAGGCAGCTCAGAGTTATTTAATATGATGAACAGCATCCAGCAGAGTCAGGCAAACGTCTTACTAATGACACCCTGTCGGCCTGAACTCAGTGATTCATTGAGCTTTTCAGTAAATAATAAATCTAAATATGCACAGTACAAACAATGAAAGTAAAACTTTCAGGGTAGTACTTTTAAAGGTAAAAAATGGAAAAACTGAGGTTGGTCAGAGTCATTTACAACGGATCAAATGTTTCCACAGAACCCCACTCTAAAAGATCTGAACATTTCTCAGCAAGCTTTATGTCTCATGAATATCATGGAAAACATTCACGCGTTTTCAATGTTTTGTTTCATCCCTGCCTAATTACCACACGATTATAATGACAAATGAGTTTCGTAAGGCAAGGATGTGTGTTTGGATCCCATAAAGTTAACGCAAAATTCAACAATTATCCACGAATGCTTAATGTCCGAACATTACCTAACCACTGAGCAGGTATATTTAGGGTGTAACACCAAGGTTACTGTCATGCTACATTTAAATGGAAAGCTTTTAAAATTTCACCTTTGATTTAAAAGCCCCAAAAATTGTAAAGCTATGAAGTTTATCAGCGTCATTGTCCATTGTCACACTTTCTGTGATCTAAAACAACAATCTTCTCCTACAAGTTAAAAGAAAGTTAGTAAAACCAGTAATAAATGATCCAATGGTCTTATCAAGCAGCTGGTTTGACCTCGTGATATTTTCAAGTTTATTGATAAACAACAAATATTTAACTCTCCTTCAATTCAGAAAGACATACCTACGGTATACTGGCGATACTGTAGGTATGTCTATACGTGGAACACTAAATCCAACTGAATTTGACTGAAATTATGGAAAAAGTTTTATTATAACAGAGTAAGAATGAAGTGTTTTATGTGTTTTTGTTTAGTGCTGCTGACATGGGTGAACTGCTCCAGTGTGAGGTGGGCCACTAGAGTTCAGGACATCTTCACCGCCGGCAAGCTGCTGGCCCTCGCCCTCATCATCGTCATGGGCTTTGTGCAGATCTGCAAGGGTAAGCTTTCTGCCACCATCTGTACAGCACTGCAAACTTATACCTACAGTACATTTAACCCAATGGTTTCTGCGAGCCTGACTGTGTGTAAAACGGAAAAATGCAAACATACACACACATTTGCAGTCAATGGGGACATCCTCTGTGACTCTGGATCATATAGACTCCATGCTGCTGCCACAAGGGTCAGCAAGTTGCTGGGGTCCTGTAGGTTAAAACTCACATTGCTAATGTCAGCAGACGGCAGGGGACTAACAGTCCAAACATGGCTGACGGCCAGTTATTTTAGGGAGGCACAGAGACAGGCCCCCGAGACAACAAAATGGACATTTCAGTGCTTGAAGGGTTTGAACAGGTCTTTGGGTAATTTGATGGGAGATTCTGGATCATAATGGGCGGTACATGTCAGAATGTGTGCTGGTTATAGCAAGGGACACTGAAGCTGGCATGCAGAAGACAAACTCTCAGTGAAGCAAACTTAAAAGGCTTAAAACCACAGAATCCAGAGGCTGTATACCAAGACAAAGTTCCATGATGGGCATAGGGACCTACACGTTAGTGATGAGTCCAACAGATTTGGCCCAGAGCCGTCACAAGTAGTACTCAGCGAAGAACTGCTGGAGACCTGAAAGAGACAGCCAACTGAGTTGGTTCGGAGAAAAGAGACGCAAGTCCCATCAGCACATCACTACTACTTTGTACATCAGCAACATTGGAGGACTCAGGATTTGGAGCTGTGAGTTGTAGATCTCTGGTTTAATTTGTAAACCAGAGTTTCAAAGAGCTCCATAAACCTTCAAAAGAAGAAAGTATAAGCTAAGACCACTGATCCGTCTGCACCGCATACTCACTACAGATGACACTGAAAGGTAAATTAGCTTCTATTTTAGCAAGATATTTGTAGTTTTACTAGTGCAGGTGAGAGTCCTTATTGAGCAGGACAGAGCCTCCTTAGAAGCAGGAGCTAAATAAGACATCCATAAGGACTGCTAATGAGCACAATGCTGCTAGTGGTAGGAGATCATAAAAAATGGCTAATGGCCTCTATTGCTTATACAACCTGTATACTGCCCAAAAAAGTTAAATCTGGTCCTCTGGACATTCAAAAAAACCCAAAACAAAGCAAAACAACAAAAAATGTAGAAACGTTT